TTGTTGTTGTTGATTGACTTTGAGTTGAGCATGACTCATAGCAACCCTATGAACAAAAGGCTTGAAGCCCCTCTACAACCATTGACATTTATTAAAGCTCCAAAATCAAGTTAAAGTACTTTCACCCAATTACATCATGGATGCAGACAATATCAATTTAAAAGAAATGTGAAGTATTTGAGCACATGGGGAAATTATATTTGAACTTTTATTTCTACTAAAATAGCAATAGTTTCTTATGATTTTAAGAATAATTATGTTCTTTGTTTATTAAAAAAGAAGAAAAAATGTTCACAAGATATTTCTGGCTTTAGTGTTGGTATATTATCATCTAATTTTATAAACATGTGTGTATGTCTATGTTCTTTCATTCAAAAATTCTGACCTGAATATTTGTAACGAGTAAGCAGAATCTCAAATTCTGGGAGTTGGCAAGAAATAAAGTAGACAGAAATCGCCGCCTTCATGAGGCAAGGATTGTAGAAGTATGAAAGAGGAGATTTATTTCATAAAGATATTTTATTTCCAAATCATTTAATCTTTATATTGATTCAAGATAGACAATTGGACAGTCGGATTGATAGAGAAAGAAAGGAGGAGAAAATTGTACTTATAGACATATACAGTTTGTTAGAAAAGGATAAATGGTGAATATAACATATACTTTTTAAAAAAGTCATGTGTGCAGAATTAAAAGTATGATACGAGAGAGTTGATGCCTTTGAGTTTGGTGCTAGAGAAGAGTATTGAATATCCCATGGACTGCTGGGAGAACAAACATGCTCGTCCTGGAGAGGATGAAGCCAGGCTGGTCCTTGGGGGCAAGGATTCTGAAGCTCCGTCTGACATACTTTGGACATGTTGCAAGGAGGGATCAGTCCTTGGAGAGGGATGTCATGCTTGGGAGGGTGGAAGGACAGCACAGGAGAGGAAGACCCTCAGTGAGATGGATTGATTCAGTGACTGGAGTAATTGGAGTAGGTGTGTTGGAGACACTAAGTTTGGCACGGATAGAGCAGGGTTTAGGGCTGTTGTACATGGGGTCACTATGAGTCACAGGTGACTCGACGGCACATAACAACAACACTGCAGAATTGCAATGTGTTATAAAGTGAGTCTTATTACTGGACTGTGATTGTGTTCTTTTATATGCTCAATTAAAAATATTGTCAATGATGACACCTTTCTAAACCCTTTTATAAGCAATGCCTAAGGACTCTCTTCTTCCACCAGCTGGAAGTAGACGAGAAAAACAAAACTTTCCTCTGTTCCTCGATGCTGGTCACTTAGTATTTCTTTATCTTTGTCACTCAGGTCTAATCATGGCTGTCATCTAGTCTTTCTCTCACTTGCATTAATTATGATAAACTTAGATTCTCCATTAGAATAAGCATTGTTGCTAGCATTCTGCCTTGCTGGGCAATATGCGTATTTCAAAATGTATAGACTGAAGAGGGGGAAAAAGGATTTAAATATCAAATACTTAGAAAGAGAGCCAATGGATTCTAAATAGCATAGTTAGACCTTTTAATTGTTTATGAATGAGGAATTTGTTGTTGAACACTTAATGATTTGCTTTCTTCTCTCCCGCCCCCTCATTACTTTATAGGAATGGTCTTTTTCATTTCTTCTAGTATGGTTTGCTTACCTGCGTTCCTCAGATTTGCATCAAATCCATGACTTTTCCCAAATGTCTGGCATGGAACTCGGACGTGTAGATAATTTTAACGATTCTGATTATGTTATTGCCTTTGCTCCCACATCCAAAACTATCCAAGAGATAATGGACAGAGTGGCTTCTGCCCCATTCCTGACAGGTATGTTATCTGATATGCAGTGATAATCTCCTTATTCACAGAACATACACATTCCTTTTGGGATTTATCTGAAAAAAATCTGCTAAACATTTAAGTTTCTCGGCCTTCTCAACACAGTAATGTAATCACATTCCAATGCCAATGAAGCTTTGGCATTTGCTATTTGCTACCTGTTTGCGATGGTCCTATCTGCAAAGAGTACTAAATAGAATATCATCATTACAGTGCACATCAACAAGAAATATTCAGAACTCATTTAGCTGTCATGCCATAACTGACCCATAGCTGACTTGCCCTTCTGTTTCTGAGAGTTACAAATTATACAGCAAAGATTGCCCATCTATCTCTCAGCTGGTGGAGAATTGGAACTTCTAGGGAGAGGCAGGTAATGGGGTTAGTAGTACAACTCCCTGTAGAAAACGTACAACATTAGCGCTCCCCAAAGAAGAGATAGTCCAAGATTATTAAAAATATTTGGTTGTAAGGAGATTCTGGAAAGACTGAACGGAAGTGACACTTTTTTGTGTGTGGAATACATAAAATTGAAAACAACAACCAGATGATACTAAAAACCCATATACAATATTTACAGCAACACGAGGTGATTCATTTCAAAATAGAAATGGATCAAAATGAAGCATTAACAGTCTTCTAAAGATCACTAAAGACTTGCATACCATCACTCTCTGGGTGGGCTAAGCAAACCAGGACAATGAGACAGTTGATAAATCTGAGATAAGAGGAAAACTAATATCTACTGAAAAGCAGAAACAATTCATCTGAGGCTTGCAACTGTACTTGTGTGTCAGTAGTCAAATATTAGAATGATGTTTAAAGGCTGTTATGTATATAAAGTGGTGGAGAGTATTCAATAGCCAAGGATGTGTCCTATCTCCATATCTCTTCAATCTATATGCAGGACAGATTATCTGGGAGGCTGGGCTCTATGAGGAGAAACGTGGCATCAGGATTGGAGAAAAACTCATCAACAATCTATGTTATGCAGATGAAACAACTCTACTTGTTGACACTGAGGAGGACCTCAAGGGCTTGCTGCAGAAGGTCAAGGATTGCAGCCTTCAATATGAATTGAAGCTCAATGTCCAGAAAACAAAGATTCTCACCATTGGGTCAGTTGGCAGCATCATGATAGATAGTGAGGAGATTGAGATTGTTAAAAGCTTTAATTTGCTTGGCTCCACAATCAACACTTTGGGTACCCACAGCCAGGAAATTAAAAGATGAATTGCATTGGGAAAGTCTGCTGTCAGAGACCTCTCCAAAGTATTGAAGAGCAACAATGTCAGTCTTGAGACTAAGGTGTGCCTGATCCAGGCCATAGTCTTTGCAACTACTTGCTATGCATCAGAAAGCTGGACAATAACTAGGGATGATAGAAGGAGAATTGATGCCTTTGAGCTGTGGTACTGGAGAAGAGTGTTGAATTTACCATGGACTGCTAGGAGAACAAACAGGTTCATCCTAGAGAGGGTGAAGCCAGGCTGCTTCTTGGAGGCAAGGATTCTGAAGCTTCGTCTGACATACTTTGGACATGTTGCAAGGAGGGACCAGTCCTTGGCACATTACAACAACAACAATTCCATCACCCTGTATCTTTGAAGTACAGAAGTGTCAGTATGCAAAAAAAGGATGCACAGACGTTTCAAACAGGAAATCTATCGACTGATACTGGAATATCTGATCATTTAAATTAGTTTGTCAACCAATAGAGCTAGTGGACTATGTCAGAAAGACTTAACAGTAAGACTGAAAAAAAACTCCCAGTGGTCAATTAGCACAATCTGAACTTCAACAAAATAATTACAATTGTTTGAAGCCCATCCAATATACATTTAAATCTGTGCTTTAGTAATACTATTAAAAGAGAAATATAATTAGTTGTTTCTCTTTGGAGGATGATGTTGTTGTTGTTGTTAAGTGCCATTGAGTTGTAGGCAACTCATAGTGACCCTATGAACAAAAGACCTGAACACTGGTATAACTTTATCCTTTCTCCATGTTCATAGGGTTTCCAGAGGCAAACTATTTCGAAAGTGGCTGCCACTCCTACTTCCAAGCTTGTTTTAATTGGGGAGCTCCACCAAACACTGTCCACCATGAGTAACCATTATTACATTTGACACACCAGTGTCACAGTGTTCAGCTTCACAGCAACCATGAGTTACCTCTGTACAGCAAGTGGACAGATCAGGACTATATGACCTAGAAAAATGTTTGACCAAAAACAATTAAAACCAGGCCTGAGGGCTGAAGATTAAAGTCATCCACCTTTGGCTTGGATGATAGCAAATCAATTCTCATCACAAAATTTAAGTGGAGGGGGAAAAATCAAAGAATTAATACTTATATAAACTATATTATGGCATAGCCAAATGGATGGCAGTAAATGATCTTTAGGAAGATTTTTCTGCCAATAATTGGAAAAAAAAGGATGGAAGTACGGGAATACTATTTTGAGAATCCCATTAATAAGCAACCTGGTGATGCTGTGGTGAAATGTTTGCCACCCAAAAGGTCTGTGATCGAACCCACGAGGCATCCAGCCAGAGAAAGATGAGGCTGTTTGCTTCTATAAAGATTACGGCCTTGGATACACTGCAGCAGGTCTACTTTGTCTTACAGAATTGCTATGAGTTGGAATCAAATTGGCGATGATGGATTTGGTTTTGGTTTTTTTCTGCAGTAGGGGTTTTAGATGATAAACATGAGTAGCCAACAGCATACCAACAAGAGAGACAACCAGCATCCAGGGTCTCCTAACAGAGGAGCACACCGCCCTCTCTGTAGCCTCACCAGAAGAATTTAATCCACGCCTAGTGTAGCCTGTGCATCAAGATGTTGGGTGAAACAGCCAAAGGGGCATGCTTCAGTGTACCGAGTATCCACTCAGAGCAATCCAGACCACGGGAAATGACACAGGCTTACAGACCTGGGTTACTCAAAAAATAATTATGAAAAAAGAAAGGGAGAGAGGAAAAGGGAGAGAGAGGCACTATGTGGGTGCCTAGTGAAGCCAGAGTGCTCCTTGAACGCAGAGATGAAGCTTCATCTCTCACACTTTGGACACGTTGCAAGGTGAGGCGATTCCTTGGAAAGGGACATCATGCTCAGAAAGAGGGAAGGTCACTGAAAGAAAGGAAGATCTCCAACAAGCTGGACTGACGTGGTGACAGCAGCAAGGGCTTGAGTATGTCACAGATGATAAAGATGGGACGGTTCAGATCTGCCGTTGATAGGGTTGCTGTGAGCGGTACTCAACTTGACGGCACCTAACAACAGCAACAAGTGGCCTAGCGGGAAGGAGTTGTGCTGGCAACCCAAAGGTATGGGGTTTAAATTCCCCAGATGTTCTATGAAAGAAAAATGAACTATCTCCTCCCATGTGACTAACTCCCTCTGAAAATTGCTGGCAGATCAACTGCAGGTCCATTCCAAATCAATAGTTCACAACTAAAATGACGGGGGTGCACAGCTGGCTGATAGAATGACCAACCTTAGGAAGAAAGAAAATTTCTCTCCAATGGTTCTAATAAATGTACTGGGCTTGATGCTCATTGGCTCTGCTTAACCCGCGGGTTCATTTACCTACCCCTGAGCCAATCACTAAGGCAATTACAGAGACCTTTTTCATCCCATGCTTCATGGGACTGTCCCAGCGCTGTGAATATGGACTCATGGTGGCAAGCTGAGTTCTCTTAGCTTAGAACTTAGTGACAGTTATGCATTTTGCTTATGTGTTTTAGACTAAAAGTCTCTTGAAAAGACCATATTCCATTTTTTTTTACTATAATGATAAAACTTTCTCTGCTTGGAGTTTAAATAGCTCATTTATACACCCACTCTTGATCTCTGAGGAATACTGCATAGTGCCACTGTTATAAAATGGGACTGACATCGGGGTTGGGGGGAGACTGAGAAAGATGCGATAAATGATGTATACAGCGTTGAAACAGATGGGGGAGAGAACTGTTGAAAAGGGATATATGATGAGGTATTATTGTCATGACAGGAGTCCAGAATGAAGGCTGCATAGTGGAGTAGACTTGGGGAGAGGGATTGAATAACAATGAAAGAATTTTTCTTTTACTTTTCAAAGAGAAGAGTGAACTGGGGGTGGGGAGGGTTGGGCAAGGAGAAAAGTGCAACAATGAGTGAATGGAAATCCAAAGTGTCTGTAAACTTTGATTAAAATGAATAATAAAAAATTTAAATACAGAAAAAAAACAATATTCAAATTGAATACATTATTTTGTCTTTGGAAATTTGGCCGTCTTGACATAATTGTCAGTTGAATGTGTATATTCTGTTACTATATATGTAAGGAGTCCTGTTGGACTAGTGCATAATGTGTTTGGCTGTTAAAAAAATGATCAGTGGTTGGAAGGCACCAGCTATCTGAGGAAAGAAACTGGACTGTCTCTTGTAAAGATTTAGAGCATCAGAAACTGAGGAAGGATCACTCTGAGTAAGAATAGACTCAGTAGCAGGGGGTTTAGTTTAACATGCATAGATTGCACATACAGGGAGCTCTGGCGGCCTAGTGGCAAGAAGCCGTGCTGCAATCTCTAAGGCACACGGCTTGAAGCCACCAGCTGCTCCGTGGGAGAAGGACGGACAGTCTCCTCCTGTGCGATTAACTGCCTCTGAAAACCTGCGGAAGGGTCAGCTGTGGGTCACTTCTAACCCAACAGTAAACAATAACGACATAAGTGAATAAACATGTAGATACATAGATATTCTCTATATGTATGTGTTATATATAGTTCCATTTTATATGGTCTGCAATTACAGTTTGGGATAAGTCTGTACTTAAGTGAGTTTTAGAGTGTGCATTGGTATTGTTATTATTTCAGATTTATTCTAAATTCAGAGTTCTAAATTATTTATTAAATTGTCTGTTTGAAAAGGCATACTTCTGACGTTAAAGACGGTAGCCATCTATGTGACAACTATAATCTTACCCAGTGTGTTAGAAGTCAGTCTCTCTTTTTCTCTCTCTCTGTTGGTTTTCCTCACTTCTCTTTTTCTGGCTCACTCTTTCTTGGTTAAAAATTGGAGTCTCTTTATCACAAATAACGTGCCATAGTGGATGACATAAGACTCTTCTTACATAGTTACTTCCTTTTTACACTTGACAGGAAGAAGAATTGTGGGCTTCTCAGATGAAGAAAGCATGAATAAATTGCATTCTAACTATTCTATTGATGTAGTGCGAATTGTCTTTAGTGACACTTTCTCTTATCATCTGAAGTTTATCTTCGCAATGAGGATTCCCTGGATGAAGGAACATACTGACCATTCAGGTAAATTTTTTGTTTTGAGCAACTATTTTAATATCATTTTTCTATCCACTTTTTAACTAGTGTAATTTTTAATAAGGACTACAGTAGATATAAGGCAGGAGTGGCATCTACTTCCTAAACAACGTGCCTCCAGAAACTATGAACTTTGATAAATGCCAATAGTTGTAGAGGGGCTTCAGGCCTTTTGTTCATAGGGTCGCCATGAGTCGTGCTCAACTTGAAAGCAATTAACAACAACCTATTAGATGCGAATATGGAGCATGGCAGTTGATTTACCTTAGCCTTGTTCTTCATCTAGCAAATTTAGGTTAGGTATTTTATAAATTCTCAGGTAACTTTCTTGATTTTTTTCCTATTGTATCACTCAACACAAGGGCTCATCTGTAATAACAGATGATATTAAAATGAGACAGAGACACATCACCACCCCCACCCACACACACACTGAATTCTGACCATAAAGGGATTAATGAGCACACAGTTCTAATTCACCAGCTGCTCTGCAGGAGAAGGACGGGCCGTTTCCTCCTGTGTGACTAACTCCCTCTTAAAACCCTCTGGAGAGTCAGCTATGGGTCAGTTCCAACTCAGTGGCACACAACAACTATCCTAACTAAATAAAATCTATAATCTTGGAAGCCGGAGTGGCATCCGCTTCCAAAATTAGCAGGCCTCCAGAAACTCTGTGAACATGGAGAAAGGATGAAAGTTATACAAACATTCAGGTCTTTTGTTCACAGGGTTGCTATGAGTGGTCTAGGACTCAATGGCACTTAACAACAACAGTAGTTTGTTTTATAAGAAAAATAATAAATTACTGTGTCATCTATCATTCATACGGCAAATCTATTAAAAATGTGTGATCAAAGAATCTGCATTATTAAAAATTAATAGTTTTTTTTTGTTTTTGTTTCTTGTTTGATTTTTACCTCCTGGTGCTAGAAAAAGCTCAATAAAATACTCTTGACTAATGGAGAAAATCATGGTTGGATAAAAATTTACTGGGGAAAAAAAGGACTTAAAATGAATAAGGAAGTCCTGCTATGTTTTTGTGGAGTACAGCCTCTGGAGCAAATATTCTTTGCATACTCCTTATTATCCAAGACTTTGATTGACTTTTGGAACATTTGAACTTCTGAAGCATTGCATATGATTTTTTTGTGTAACCAGGATGGCCCTTACCTCATAAGAATGGTTGTGTTCTTTTCCCAAAGCTCACTGTTTTCCAAGGGATGGAAAAATCGCATGTGAAAGTTCAGTATTCTGGGAGAGAGGGTTTCTAGCGTTCCAAGCTGCCATTAATGCCGCTATCATAGATGTAAGTATGAAACAGAAAGGAACTCGTTGCATTTTAAGTTACATTTGTATGAATGGTGATACAATGAATCACCCAGTGCTGAATTGTTTTCACGTCATTAATTTGGCAGGAAGTACTGAAAAGGGTTACTATCACCAGGCAATTATATGGAGCACTGTGAATCAGAAAATAAACAGAACACAAGATATTATGTAATGGGGGAAGTAAAAGTACGGATCTATAGTTGCCGTAAAACCTAAGGCTTATAAATGGTAGGTTAGGCCAGCAAAGAAGGAGGCATTATATTCCGAAAAATATAGCATGAGTAGAATTTTGTTGAGTAAAGAAAACAAGAAGGGATATTCTTAAGAGTCAAGACAAAACTCTATTTTGAGAACCAGATGAGAGGCATTCATATAAAAATGTGACTTGCACATAGTGTTTTACAGTTTGTTGAAAAGCTCAAGGTTATAATTAGTCTAATAGTGACAACTTGTTAATTGCTATCTTAATTTAGGTCACAACAAATCATTCCGTGATGGAAGAACTCATGTCCCTTACTGGAATCCATATGAAGATATTACCTTTTGTTGCTCAAGGAGGAATTCGGACCGACGTTTTCATTTTCTTTTGCATTATTCCTTTTTCTTCATTCATATATTATATATCAAGCAATGTTTGCCAAGAAAGACAGTACATTAAGGCAGTGATGACAATGATGGGACTTCGTGACTTGGCTTTCTGGTAAATCATGTACTCACACATCACCTCACAACATAAAGATACCCAACCACTTAGCTGTTTGGGTGTCATAAGATTCTAACACATCATATTTAAAGCTGCTATTTTCATGAAGTTGTTATTGTTATGTACCATCAAGTCAGAACCAAATCACAGTTAACCTTCCAGCAGGTTTTCAGAGGTTACAAATTGCATGGGAGGAGGTTGCCCAGCTGTCATTCATGAAGGAGAAGGTGGATTCTGACCACTTACCTTTTTTGTGTTTTTTTTTAAGAAATGTCCATTTTATTCATTCATTCATTCATTTATTTATTTATTATGTGTGTACCATCAAATTGGATCTGACTGGTACAGGAGGCGATTGTTCCTCCTTCTTCAGCAGAGCATCTGGTGGATTTGAACCGCCCACCTCTGGGATTGCAGTGCAGTTTCCTGCCACTAGGCCACCAGAGCTCGCCTGACCACTTACTTTTAAGCTGGCAATGCAGCTCCTTACAGCTAAGGTTATTTAGTACTTACCACTTACTACCAGTGTAATAAATGACAAATACATGGAGTAGATGGACTGGTAAATTCCATAGCTTCTCCTATTTCTCTGAATTAAAAGAAGTCTAATGTAGATGTTGAGACTGTTAACAACTTTAGTTTGCCTGGCTCCATAATCAACACTCTTGGCACCAGCAGCCAGGAAATTAAAAGACATATTGTGATGGGAAAGTCTGCTGTTAGAGACCTCTCCAAAGTACCGAAGAGCAACAATGTCAGTCTGGAGACTAAGGTGCACCTGATGCAGGCCAGGGTCTTTGGAATCACTTCCTATGTGTCAGAGAGTTGGGCAATGATTGGGGAGAATAGAAGGAAAAGTGATGCCTTTGACCTGTGGTGCTGGAGAAGAGTATTTAATACACCATGGACTGCTAAGAGAACAAACAAGTTGATCCTGGAGAGGGTTAAACCAGGCAGCTTCTTAGAGGCAAGGGTTCTGGGGCTTTATCTGACACACTTTGGACATGTTGTAAGGAGGGATCAGTCCTTGGAGACAGACTTCATTCTCAGGAGGGTGGAGAGACAGCAACTGGGGTAATGAGGGTAGATGTGTTAGAGACAATGAGATTGGCACAGGACAGAGGAGGGTTTAGGGCTGTTGTACACGGGGTCGCTATGAGTCGCAGGTGACTTGACAGCACATAACAACAACAATATAGGTATTAGATGAACTTTGATAAATGTTAATAGTTGTAGAGGGGCTTCAGGCCTATTGTTCATAAGGTCACTATGAGTCATGCTTGACTAGAAGGCAATCAACAACAACAATACAGATATACTAAATATCACATTTATATATTGATGATTTCATGAAGTAGTAAACAATAAATGGGTAGGCAGATGGACTTTCAGGTTTGATAACTGAAATTCTCCATATTTCTTTAATTTCTCTGAATTAAAAGGTGAGAGCTCCAGTGACCTGGTGTTTAAAGAGTTGAGGGGCCAAATCCCAAAGGCAAGTGGTTTGAATCCACCAGCTACTCTTTGAAAAATGGGCAGAAACTGGTCCCTCCTGGCAACATGCCCAAATTATGTGAGATGGAACTACAAAATCTTTGCCTCCAAGAGCAACTTGGTTTCACACTCTCTGACAAAACTGTTCTCTTGGCAGTCCATGGGGATGTTCAACTTCTCTAGCACCACAATTCAACGGCGTCAATCTTTCTTATGTCATCCTTAGTCATTGTGTAGCATTCTGAAGCAAAGCAAGTAATTGAAAACCATGGCCTGGATGAGGCACACCTTAGTGTCTAGAATGACATCATTGCTCTTTAGCACTCTGGAGAGGTCCCTGAGAGCAGGTTTTCCTAATGCAATTTGTCTTTTTATTTCCTGATTGCTGGTACCAAGAGTGTTGATTGATGAACCTAGCAAACTAAATAGAGCTTATCAAATAGGGCTTTAGAAGCAAAGAGCTCCTAAATCCTCATAGATTTTTCACCAAAAAAAATCCCCAATGGCAGTCCCTCTCAGCATGTCATCCAGTTTACTTTCCTCATTCTACAATTACCTACCTATTTTACCTATTTATTTGTTGCTAACCATTCCACCTAGAATATTATTTTCTATTCAGAGAAGTTTCCCGAGCAGTCATTTCTCTTTACCCTTGATTCATGGTAAGCTTCATAAGTCATTTGCTGAAAAAGATAAATGGATGAAATGGTACAATACGAGCATGCCGACTGACCTGCGGCATTTGTTTCTGTGCTAGGCTCTCCTGGGGTTTGATGTATGCCGGCTTCATCTTTATTCTGGCTACCTTGATGGCCGTTATTGTAAAGTCATACCAAGTAGTTGTGCTGACCGGCTTTGCGGTGGTCTTCACTCTGTTTCTTCTATATGGCCTGTCTTTGGTGAGTTGGCTAATTTAATGCCTGTTTTTCCTTTTCTTTTGTTCCCTTCCTCCTCCTCCTCCTCCTCCTCCTCCTCCTCCTTCCTCTCTCTCTCTCTCCCCCCCTTCTTCCCTCCATCCCTCCCTCGATCCCCTCTTCCCCTTCCCTTCTCTATTCTCTCTCTGTTCCCCACAACCCATTAACTTTCCCATACGTACTAGTATCTTCTAGTTGTCTCTCACTAGACTATGTAGTCACATTTCTTCCAGTTTTTTCTAAATCTAATTTTTGCCTTGAGTAATATCTAAACATGTAAAGAAAAATAGATTAACTACTTTTTTGTAAATTAAAATTCTTCTCTGATGCTACCATGATTCCCAGAACATAGTATGTGTCAGCTGAGGTTTTCCTCTTCCTTCAGATAACATTAGCTTTCCTGATGAGCGTGTTGATAAAAAAACCTTTCCTCACCGGCCTGGCCATGTTCCTCCTCACTGTCCTTTGGGGGACCCTGGGATTCACTGCCCTTTACAGACACCTCCCTGCGTTTCTGGAATGGACCTTGTGTCTTCTCAGCCCCTTTGCCTTCACTGCTGGCATGGCTCAGGTAAGATTTAATGGACCTGTTACATTTATTACAAAAGGTTTAAATCCATCCCCTCTTAATTCATTTTAGATATTCTGAGCATTGAAATTCCTACTCACTGTTGCAAAATTAACATCCTTAGGAATCGATTTTTTTCTTTTTCTCTCTCAGTGTAATTATCAAATGTGTTTTAAATCTTAACATCTGTGATGTTAATGAGGCAGGATTATAAATTGTGATGTTAAAGAGGCAGGGTGAGGTTGTTGTTGTTGTTGTTGTTGTTATGACACTATGTACAACAACCCTAAACCGTGCTCTATCCTGTGCCAATTGCACCGTCTCCGACACACGAACCTCCATTACCCCAGTCACTGAATCAATCCACCTCATAGAGGGTCTTCCCCTCCTGCGCTGTCCCTCTATCCTCCGAAGCATGATGTCCCTCTCCAAAGACTGGTCCCTCCTTGCAACATGTCCAAAGTGTGTCTCCAAGCTCGCCTGGTTTAACCCTTTCCAGGATGATTCTGTTTGTTTTTTTAGCAGTCCATGGTATATTCAATATTTTTCTCCAACACCACAGCTCAAAGACATCAATTCTCCTTCTATCCTTCCTATTCATTGTTCATCTCTCTGATGCATAGCAAGTGATTGCAAAGACCGTGGCCTGTATCAGATGCACCTTAGTCTCCAGAGTGACATAATTGCTCTTCAGTACTTTGGAGAGGTCCCTAACAACAAACTCTTCCATCACAATATGTCTTTTAATTTCCTGGCTGCTGGTGCCAAGAGTGTTGACTAGGGAGCCAAGCAAACTAAAGCTGTTTAACAATCTTTATAGTTTCACCATCATCCTGATGCTGCCAATTGGCCCAGTGATGAGAGTCTTTGTTTTCTTGATGTTGAGCCTCAGTCCATATTGAAAGCTGCAGTCCTTGACCCTCTGCAGCAAGCACTTCAGGTCCTCATCAGTTTCAGCAAGCAGGGTTGTGTCATCTGCATAACGCAGATTGTTGATGAATCTTCTACCAATCCTGATGCCACACTTCTCATACAGTTCAGCCTCCTGGATAAAAGAGGCATCATACAATCTACAAAATGAAGTTATATCTTGAGCTAGTCTCTTTAGAGATAGAAGATATTAAGCACACAAGTAGCGCTCAGAGGGACCTGATTACCATCAGGAAGAAGAGTCAGGAAGGGAGTATATTCTGTGGCCCTTGGGTCTCAGTGCTGAGAAATTCCTAAACTCAGAGAAATAATGATGTCAAGATACATGGACAGTTTCAAGGAACGTCTGGCCTTCACATGTTGGAAAGGAACAAGAACCTTCTCCCCTGTGGAGCCTGGTACCCTGAATTTCTACTTTTAGTCTCACAAACTGTGAGAATCAATTTCTATATGATAATGTCATGGGCTTATAACATTTCTCTTATAGAGCACTAGATAACTAAGATGAAATTTGGTATCATGGGTAGAGTGTTGTTCAAACAGATTCCTAAAATTTGGAAGATATTTTGGGTATGGGTAATGAGTAGACGTTGAACGAGTTTTAGAAATAGTAAAAGCCTAGATTGTCTTGAAGAGACAGTTAGTGGAGTTATGAGCATCAGAGGCAGTTCTGGTAAGGAGGAGGGAAGGAGGGAAGGAAAGAATGAAGGAGGAGAAGGAGTAGGAAGAAGAAGCTATAACACCCATAGATGCTGATACTAAGACATGGAGGAGGAGGGGGGGAGGGGAGGAAGAGGGAGAGGGAGGAGAAGGAGGAGGAGGAGGGAAAGGAGGAGGCGGAGGAGAAGAAGGAGAAGGAGGAAGGAGAACTGTAATACCACAGATGCTGATACTGAGTAATGGAGGTGCAGAGGCAACAGTACTAGCTTGTGGAGACTGCCACGAAACAGCATAGATGGGAACCTACAGGGCAGAAGGGCGGGAAGCCTTTTGATGGGGCCTCCTTTGCCCCTAGACACTTGTTGATGGAGCTAGGCCAGCAGAGAGTGGAGAAGAGAGTGAGAAAGCTGAGATTCTTTAAGCTGAGGCTTACTGGTAGAGCAATGTGCCTCTAGCCACTTATTGGTAGAGCTTAAGAGTGTTGTAATATTTGCCATGGAAGGACAAGGCCTTAGTCAGTCCAAGAGGCCAAGGAACCAGGAAGCAGAAACTGAAGAGATAAGCAGCACAGGAAGCAAAATGTAGGACCATTAACTACAAGTATCTCAAGGGTAGATTCATGGGCACCTGGGTCTCAGTGGGTGAGACCATGACCTCCTAGGTGTCAGAGAGTGAAATCATTACCAACTCAATTATGGAATATGGGACTGCCATTTATGAGTGTCAGAAAGATGGAGTGAGCTACCCTGCCCAAGGGCTAGGTTGGGTACAGTCAGGGCCTACAGTGTGAGCCTCCTGCTCAATTGGCCTCAGAGAACGGTACTTCCAAAAGCCAAGGAAGCAGAATTGCCATCCCCGTGGACTTAGAAGTGGAATGAAATCCCAGAGCTGTGGGATTGAATGCTCCTAGAAAGCGTGACCAATTTGTGGAGTCTGGAGAGCAGAACTATTGGTAAGATGGTCTAAGAGAACAGAGGATTATTTTCAAAATTCGAGAGCTAATGTAATTTGTTCAAAATTTGGTTTCAAAATTTGATTCATGCCTATTACACATTCTTCCCTCCTCCCTTCATTTCCTCTCATTTGTAATGGAAACATGGATATGATACGTGCTCCACCATCGTGCTTTGGAAGCAAGCAGCTTGTGCTCTAGATTCACAAATGAAGAGGGATTTTTGCAATGAGTCAGAATGGACTCAAGGACACCTAACAACAATAAGCCTGATGAAATCCTCTGTGATGGTTACGTACAAAGCACTTTCCTTTATGCGTAACCCCCTTCTGGAGGACCCCCACGTTTAACACTCAGTATGCATTTCCGCTGACATTCTTCTCATATTGCATTAGTTTATGTGGTTGCACTGCTAAGTTTCCCAATAGCTCCGAGCTCTGTAATGCCAAGGATAATGTCTTCATTATCTTTTGCAAATAGAAATGAGATAATCATAATGGTTGATGTTATATTAATTATTTAAAGTCAATGTGTTTTTTCCTAGCTCATCCATTCAGATTATGATGTGAATTCTAATGCTCATTTGGGTTCTTCAAGTGACTCCCACCTAGTAATAGCCATTCTTTTCATGTTGGCATTCGATGCTCTTCTCTATATGGCAATGGCGTTATATTTTGACAAAATTTTGCCCAGTAAGTAATCGAATTCTTTCCATTCAATAAAATGTCATTAATTAGATCCTTTAAAACAGGAGTGTATATGATAAAGATTTTTCTAAAAGTTTTAATGTAACCTTAGTGATATTCTTTTTTTATAGACTAGCAGGAGAGGAAGATCCTTGGTGAGATTGATTCCATCACTGGGGTCATGGGGATAGGTGTGTCAGAGACAATGAGATTGGCAAGGGAGAGAGCAAGGTGTAGGGCTGCTGTACATAGGGTCACTATGAGTCACAGATGACTCAACAGCACATAACAACAACAAGAACAAGTTATAGAAATAGAGATAGATGAGATAGATATAGATAGATATATAGATATATAGATGTA